CAATTTCAGGTTAGCATTTGCATCAATCTTTTGCCCTAATCTTCTTCAGATTCTCTTCAGATTTCCAATTTCATGGCTTAATTCATGGTTGTTTTCTTATTATTCTATCTAACTTTCTCTTCAATGTCTTTGAGCATTATTTTCTTCCTTTGAATCTCATTATTTTGTTCTGGTCATCTGTTTGTCCTATGTTGTTTTCTATTTTTTATCGATATGATGAAATTATTGATCTCTGATTCACCGAAGAATTTTACTAAGTAAATGATTTGCAGTCTGACCGGTTAACATGTAAATAAAAATCATCCTAAAGCTTAGTTCTCAAATGATAGAATATGAATATATGCCTTTTACGGCAACAAGGTATACTACAAGGTAAATCAGTCCTCTAAAGAATGATCTCTTATACACAATTTGTTTGTTCAACGCATTAGCAATTGATGACGGGACCAATAATCTTTGGTTGTAATGCATCGTTGGATTATTTATATAAGACCACATCTTACTAGAATGGTCCATTTGCCTAAATATGTGGAGTTCTGAAAGACTTTCTGATTTCTATAATCTTATGTTAAGTTGCATTTTGCTTGAGGAATGTGTTTTATATCTCTCGGCATTGAAAACATTTTTACTACAAATGAAGAGTGTTTTCTATTCAAATTTAAACTTTAGTAGAAGTCTATTAATTCACTGACTTTTATATAAATCTGATATAAAGAGCAGCCTAATGACTTGAGTTATCCCTTGATGGAGTAATATTGTTTCAGATACATTGCAGCAAGTTGTTTCTCTATTTTTTTAGTACTGTCACATGGACGTGTCTGATACTGAATAATCTTAGTTGAAGCACCAGATTTTTCTTGCTAAAAGTGCAGGGAATCAACTACTGCTTGTTGAAGAATGAGTAACTCTTGATAAGGTACCACTAATTTTACTATATATGTACTTTATCAAAAAAAAAATTAATATACATGTAATGCCTATATAAAATTTTATTTAGTTTGAAGTTCAGTCCCTTGGAAAATTAGTTTTTGTATTGCGCCTTTTTTTTTAATCGAGTTGTACTAGAGAATAGATATAATCGGAAAAGAGATATTAATTTAAAGGAAAATATTATGAAGTCCATATTTTTCTTGCATTATAGATTTATTTTTATTTTGTTTGTTCATTGCTTTTTTTTTTTTAATACTTTGCGCTAATAGACCTGCCTAAGTATGTGGAGTTCTGAAAGACTTTCTGATTTCTATAATCTTATGTTAAGTTGCATTGTGCTTGAGGAATGTGTTTTATATCTCTCGGCATTGAAAACATTTTTACTACAAATGAAGAGTGTGTTCTATTCAAATTTAAACTTTAGTAGAAGTCTATTAATTCACTGACTTTTATATAAATCTGATATAACGAGCAGCCTAATGACTTGAGTTATCCCCTGATGGAGTAATATTGTTTCAGATACATTGCAGCAAGCTGCTTCTCTATTTTTTTAGTACCGTCACATGGACGTGTCTGATACTGAATAATCTTAGTTGAAGCACTAGATTTTTCTTGCTAAAAATGCAGGGAATCAACTACTGCTTGTTGAAGAATGAGTAACTCTTGATAAGGTACCACTAATTTTACTATATATGTACTTTATCAAAAAAAAAAATTAATATATATGTAATGCCTATATAAAATTTTATTTAGTTTGAAGTTCAGTCCCTTGGAAAATTAGTTTTTGTATTGCACCTTTTTTTTTAATCGAGTTGTATTAAAGAATAGATATAATCAGAAAAGAGATATTAATTTAAAGGAAAATATTATGAAGTCCATATTTTTCTTGCATTATAGATTTATTTTTATTTTGTTTGTTCATTGCTTTTTTTTTGTTTAATAAAGCCCACACTTTTATTGTACTTTGCACTAATAGACCTGCCTAAGTAGTGGAGTTCTGAAAGACTTTCCGATTTCTATAATCTTATGTTAAATTGCATTGTGCTTGAGGAATGTGTTTTATATCTCTCGGCATTGAAAACATTTTTACTACAAATGAAGAGTGTTTTCTACTCAAATTTAAACTTTAGTAGAAGTCTATTAATTCACTAACTTTTATATAAACCTGATATAAAGAGCAGCCTAATGACTTGAGTTATCCCTTGATGGAGTAATATTGTTTCAGATACATTGCAGCAAGCTGCTTCTCTATTTTTTTAGTACCGTCACATGGACGTGTCTGATACTGAATAATCTTAGTTGAAGCACTAGATTTTTCTTGCTAAAAATGCAGGGAATCACTGCTTGTTGAAGAATGAGCAACTCTTGATAAGGTACCACTAATTTTACTATATATGTACTTTATCAAAAAAAATTAATATACATGTAATGCCTATATAAAATTTTATTTAGTTTGAAGTTCAGTCCCTTGGAAAATTAGTTTTTGTATTGCGCCTTTTTTTAATCGAGTTGTACTAAAGAATAGATATAATTAGAAAAGAGATATTAATTTTAAAGGAAAATATTATGAAGTCCATATTTTTCTTGCATTATGGATTTATTTTTATTTTGTTTGTTCATTGCTTTTTTTTTTTAATAAAGCCCACACTTTTATTGCACTTTGCGCTAATAGACCTCGAGCGCCTTTTAAAATTTTTTGCCTTTAACAATAGTGGTAACGACAATCATTATTATCGTTTCTCTTTTCTCTATATTCTTTCCAACTTCTTGACTTTGCAGATCTTTTAAGAATTTACAAGCGTCATTCCCACTTAGAATTTACCTCATTGAAACGGCTTTATACTCAAAAATTGGAAAAAAATTTAATTGTCACGGTCATGGAAGGCTCGACGCTCCTCATCTGTACTTTCAGAAAGGCTATGAATGATCTACCTTGATACCATTTATGTGATCCCTCAACATATATCTTTTATGTATTTATGTTTATCCTTATGATGGAAAGGCCTAAATCTCTACAAGCAGTTTTTAAAACAAGCAGTTGGGATTTTAGCTTTATTCTCTCATGAAATACACTAGAAAAGTCACTGATGTTGCTTATAATTTGCTTACTGTAATTTCTATTTTCTACATAGGTTGTGTGAGTCTTCATGCACTAGCATATACTATTTACACTTTCGGATTTAAGTTCTTCATAACGTTATACTATTCTCTCATATTAGTTTTATTTGTGAGTTACAACACAATAAATCTATAGCACACTACACTATTGTCATGAGATATTTTATATTCTATGAATTTATGTACTAAGACTGAGGACAAACTAAAAACAAGGATGGTTTAGCATTGATTATTGTGGAGTGTATTTGGTAACTGTGACATGATCTAACTTTCTTCTTTTTTTTTGTTCATAAATCATTGCAAAGTGATTATAACGTGTTACAAAATTGATGCGCTTATTAGGAAAAAAATATTGCAAATTGATAATAAGAACAAAGTAAGAAATTGAAAAAGAAAAACATAATACTTAGACTGAGTGCATTTCATACATGTGATGCTGTTGTGGACAAAATAATACAGAATAGTCATTGATGTTACTTGATTTATCAAGCATTCAAAATTCATATTGATTAAATTCTAATCGGAAGTTTCAAGATTAATCACCATTTTAAGTTGACTATATCTTGAAGGACATTTTCTGTTTAATTACATCTTCTCCAATATTTCATGAAATCTAACTTGTTTTCATTTTTTGAATTTGGTATAGATTGATTATTCACTAAAGAGCGAAGTTCAAAGGAGTCTGATGAGTGAGGTATGTATATTTGTCTTGAGCAATAACAACTCCCTGAACATATTTAGATTTAAGGAATGTGCTATGTAGCAATAATGTCTTGAAGAGTTGTACTCTGCACAAATAATTATTTGGTTTCTTTGAATATCTGACTTATGGAACTTCAGTTTGGCACTTGTAGCGTTATTTAGTAGAAAAAAGTAGGTTCTTTTGCCTTCTCATTTTCCCTCCTTTTTGTGATGAGTAATAAAAAGAAAGTTTATTTACAAGCACCAATACTAAATGATGTTATAAAAAAGAGCAGTCCAATATACAAGACATCCCGTATTCAGGCAGGATCTGGAGAAAGGTCGCACCCCAAGAGGTGTTGATGTAGACAGCCTACCTTAATGCAAGCATTAGTGGCTGCTTCCACAGTACGAACCCGTGACCTATAGGTCATATGGAGATAAATTTACCATTTGCTCCAAAGTTCCTCTTCTAAGATAATGCTGAGATATAAAAAATCCAGTATAAGTCCATATTTTATTTTTATAGTGGTGATAGAAACTGTATCAATGTATCTACTTTCATAACCGTGTATGTTCTTGATAATTTGCTACTCATATGATTGTGCTTATTTCTTTCTTTTACTTAAGGGTAAGTAAAATGTATCGACCAACTTTTTGGAGATCATTTGCATTAAATTTTGGTATATCCATATAATTTTAGGAGTTAGCTTATCAAAGAAAAAGAACCAAGGAATTGCATTTCTCCAATTTTTCCGTAATTGTTGACCGATTTAATCTTAAGGATAGGAGGATCTTATACTCTTTAATTTATGATGCATCCTTAAATTATAGTAATAGTGTCTTCTCCTTTAATGACATTGTTCGATCTTCTCTAAAGGGGGTGTACCTCGACACTTGGGTATAGTCTTCTAGAGTAGTTTGTTTTCCCTTGGGGTCTCTCTCCCCCTCTTGTCTCTAACTTATCTTTATATCATGGTATTTTTCAAATTTGTGGTGCGGGACTTGTATTAATTAATATTTTCAATAGAAAAAATGTTTAATATTTTGTTCTCTTTTCAGAATAGGAGCAAGAAGCTCTTTTGATGGAGGTCAGGACGAATACAAAGTGGTGATGTTTCCGGGCTTCCAGCAATGCACAAATTTTTACAATAATCTTTATGGTTCTTAATGGGATTATGTGATTTATGTTGTTCGTACATGCATGGTGTAAGTACTCAAAAACATAATACATCTGGTTGATCATGTGGTATAAAATGATGGGTAGGAGATGAGGAATTAGTCATATGCTTTGATTAATAGAGAAGCACAACAAAATGAAATATTAGCTCAATTTTACACACGTCGGCCAGCCCCTAGGGAAGTAATATATAGTTTTATGTTTCTATCACTATTGATCAAAACCAGCATTATTCTGTTGTGTTTGTGAAATTTTTGTTATCCTTAACCATTTATTGCTATTTCGAATCTTAATCACATGTAAACACACGATTACAGTTTAAATTGTTGGGCCCGTGCATAATCATCTAGTGTACAAATATTCAAAAACCTCAAAACCACAAACAAAACTGTAAGGACGGCAGCTCTGTGTAACTGGCGAAAGAATTGAGATATTCCACGGTTTACACTCCTTGATCCTCTTCTCCAGCAGAACTCCACTAGCTTTGATTGCTGCAACCATCGGGAAATTACACGACCAATGATATGAGTCTGTTGCAGCTAACGGATAGGGTGGTATTGAGCAGATACTCTTTTGGGAGGCAGTTTTCGCAGGATGTAAAGCACAAGAGCTGAAGGAAGAATTTCCACGAGCTGCCACCACAGAAGAACGTGATCTCAGAGAGAGAGAGAGAGAGAGAGAAAGAGAGCGAAGGAGGGATATAGTGTAACCAAGGAGCATGGAAAAGTAAACAATGCATACCATGTAATATATCAGATTTAGAACTGGATGATCCAAGACGTCTAGTGTCGCATCAGCATCAAAAGCCGATAACACAACCTGCAGTGAGAAAGATTAGCAGCAATAAAGAAGTTTCACAGGCATGAAAGCCAGTGGCACTGACATTAATAACTATTGGGTCATTTGAAAGAGGATTTGATCCTTGGCTGGATACTAATACCTCTAAAAGTAAGGAACTATTATGGGATTAAGGCCGCCTTGACTCTCAGGCTCAAAGCAACAGTTGGTTTTAAACCTAACCTTTTTCCGTATCAAATATCTATACTCAGGCGCCTCTATGTGATAGGGTAGTTCTTTTTTTTCCTTTCTTGCTGTAGGAGGCGAGCGTGGCGGCAAGTGTGGGCATAACTTAAATCTTATTATGTTAAAATAACCACAACTTTTCACCTCTGACTTGCGAAAGCAACCAATTAAACCTTGATGCCCTTTGATTTCCTCATAGGCGAGCTGATAGAGTTGTTTGATCAATGTTTAGGCAAATTTAATTGGCACGTGGAGGCCATTAAGTGGCCGCAAAATAAAAGGTTAACAGTATATATAGAAGAGAAAAGGAGAGGGAAAAGAGCCTTACCACAAAGCATCTAATGAGGAAACAAGTGAAACAAATGGCAGTTACAGATCCAACCTGCAATCATAGACATTTCATATCCATGTGAAACACCTTAGAGCAAGAGACCTTGAGAAGTACAATGTCATGCATTATCTGTAATATTTATGCATGCATTCAACTCTACTGACATAAATGAGACTTGCACATCTGACAAAAGCATATCAAATAACAAGAGAATAATTCAATTCTTAGAAGTAAAGGATTTTTAGAATAAGCAGGTCAACAAAGAAAATGTTTTATTGAAGTTGGTAGGTGTAGCAACTAGCAATATTGTGCATGCATTTCATCCTCCAATTTCAATTAACAAAAAGTATAGGCATTCATTAGCTAACAGATCTTGACAAGAATCTCATCTCCCTAAGTACTCAAGCGAAATTTTGTTATTATCAATTCTTGGTTGTTCATCTGTAGAGGAACCCCAAAAACGAAAGCACATAAAAGTGCATCCGTTTTGACATATACTTTAAATAATCAGCTGCATTCCCATTGAACCAACCGTACAGTGAATGCACATAGTTCTTTCTCAGTTTATAAAGACACTTTGCATATTATTGTATACATACATCAAATTAGCTTTTGACTGTTTCCATGATGATTACAGTGCTAACTTCAATAGACATGCAGTGGCAGATTTTGTCAGTTCTTCGTACATTCTGCTATAGCTGAAAAATCCCAGAAGAGAATGAGCAAAACCATCACGACTCATAGACTTCCAAGTTTTAAGTGAATTTTTCCTAAATGGTGGGTAGGGGAGAGAATTTTGTTTTTTAGGAAAGAATTTGAAAAATTACATGCATGCGTTTACCGCACTACACCTATCCAAAGAACACCAAACAAGTTCTATCCAACTAGTAAGAAGATAAATGGTTGAAGGCGCAAACCTCATGAAGCTTCTTTCTTCTCCCTTTAGATTCAATGGGGAAGCGTCTCAGCATAGAAAATAACCTGATGATAGTAAAAAGATGAAGTCCACAAGAACAAGTATACAAAATCAGTTATGTCTAAGGTATGACGTAAGGTTGTACGACTTAAGAAGATAAATGCACCAAGAAATAGCAGTTAGTTCACCTTCCACCATACAGCAAAAATCCTAATGCAGCAATAAATGATACAACTGCACCAAATGTAATGAAATGATAAGATTAATGAGCAAGTAAACTCTGAAAACAGTTCTAACTTTCGGTATAGATAAGAAACTGAATATAAAGATTCACCTGCTATAAATATCTTCCCAATGAATTCCACAGTGCTATTGTCGTTTATCCAGAGGTACGCCCAGATACAAGCCTGATGCAAAACAATTTTTTTAGTTTTATATACTGAGACAGAAGTTAAGAGACTCGAGTAGCGCGTCAACTTTGGTGCAAGGGAGTCGGTTAGGCTATTCACCTAGAAATCAAGAATAATGAACTACTTTATCTTTATAAGCGCTCTATTCCTAACAGAATGGAAGATACCGGGAATTAGGATAATGTAATCCCTGTTTCAAGGCTAAATTTACTCCAGTATTATTAACATTCTCGGAAGCAAAATAAATATAGTATTACAAAAATGAATTACCAATATCTAATCCAGTATATATCCTTACTAAGTAACAAAGAAAGGCTACTAGTAAATGAAGAGGCAAAGCATATAGCAAACCTGTATGAAGTATATTGCACCATTTACTGAAATATAGAAGGTTCTCAGCTTATCTGTTGGTAAACTCCTAGCCTGATCATTTATACAAGCGCAAATGTTAGAATTGATGGGTCAATATTATGCCTGCAGGATGCTACAGATTCACTTGCCTGGTGATATATCTCAGCCCAAAATAGAACAAGAAGTGTATACGCTGAGAAGAAAAGCAGGCCCGGTAGATCCAATAATACCAAAGTCAGCACCTGGTTTAACATGGAGTAAATATTTATGTTGACCCGGAAACAACAGCGAAGCAGCTCAAGAGGCAGTAGTGGTATGTATTAAATTCTTCTTCTCACATCATTAACCCCAAAAACATAATGGGTAAAACAGCTGTCACCACAATGAGTCCTGGAGTTACATTTGCAAACTGCAGTCTTATTCTATGTAAATTTTCGTATTTTCTTGCCTTTAGGCCCATCTAACACTTTGATCCCAGCTAATTTGGTGGTAGCTACAGCTACTAATTTATGCATCAATATAATCAAGACAAAGAAAAAAGATAACTTTTAAGTAAAGTGATAGAAAACCACAGTCATGTGGTTATCAAGGTGCTATTCATGGACTAAATTTTTTCCTAGTATAGAGCTCATAGGGGGCTAATAGGTTTTAAAGCTAAATGCTGAAGGTAGCAACTAAATTTCTACAGTTCGGGAAAGAATCCACAAACTTAAAGTGTTTGCCCAATTTTAGCACTGTCAACTATTCCCAATAGTTGAGACCTGTAGAAGATGGAGTAGTTACGATAATCTTTAGAAGTAATATGAAATAAAAAATCTAAACAAATTTTAATTAAATAAGCTCACAGATTAAACATAGAAGGCCGGCCATTATTGACATGTATATTGCTAGTAGACTATAAGATTAGTCAGTGAGCGGGATATTACCTTCAGAAACAACAAAATTTAAACAGGTAAAAAAACTTGGGAGGAAATTGAATATAACGACAGGCAATTTATTCAAGTAAATATAAATTGTCAAGTGCTATTGAAACAGAACATGAAGACAGCAGAACTATAGTTGTTAAAGTCACAACAAAAAACATCACGGATAATCCAAAGAACTTACCTTGGGATGGAACAAAAACACTTGTTTGTGAAATCCAAAGACAATGGCACGAACTGAGGAAAGTAGATTTATATTTAAAATCAATTCACTGATCCAAAAATTCCAATATATTATTTATGCTAAGTGCTAACTCTGTGTTACCTCCATTTACAACAAAGTTCATGAGATGGAAAACCTTTTGTGTCGTCCAACCATATTCAGGTACTCTCAACTGTATTCTTATTAATTGAATCTGCACATGGTCAACACATACACTCAAACAGAAGTCCTACATCCAACTGAGAATCGTGGAGAAAGTAAATTTGATACACCACAAAAGTAGGTAAAATACATCCATCAACTAATGGCATGCAACTAATGAAACCAAGCCC